TGATTTTTTAAATTTCTTAATTATTATTTTATTAACTTTAATTATTAAAGAAATTAAAATTTGCTCGAATAAATAAATAATTCAATGAAAATTGACAAGAAATCTTTGAAAAAATTAAGAAACCATTAAAAAATTTTGTGAGTCTATTGTTTTTAAATTGTAAAACAATTACTCTTAAATTTTGGAGGGCCTCCAATAAAGGGGTTTATCCCTCTTGAATAAAGTCAATATTTTATAATTCAAAAAAATTCTGAAGTATAAAATAGTTTTTTAAAAAGTTAAAAAAGGTTTTTAAGTCAAATTTTTTTGTTAGATTTACTCTAATCATCTATTTTTCAAATTTTAGACATAGCAACCAAAACTCAACGTTTGAAATTGATTCAGTTCGGCTTTTAATTAAAGAACTTAAAACCTCGTCAAACCCCACTTGTTGGTTATAATTTTAGTCAATTTCAAAATTTTCTTTTTCAGTTGTAGATTTTTTTTTTCAATTGTAGATTTTTTCCCCATCCCTATTAAAAATCTTTCTCCCTAATTTTTCACAAAATGGTTATTCAATTCAGAGTTAAGATTTACTTATATATAAGTTTTACAGATTATATTTATATAAAATTTTAATAATTAATTTGTTCACTTTTAAAAATTGAAATTTATTCACTTTGTATTATATTTATAATAATTAACATTTTCATCTAAATTATTGTGATAAATTTTAATCATTAAAAATAAAAAAATAAAAAATTAAAATTTTATATAAATATAATGTATAAAACTTATGTATAAATAAATCATTATTTTTAATTTAAGTAATCTTCAACGGTTCGAAAGAACTGCTTCTAGGTTAATAATTCAATATGCCGTTCTAAGTTCAAACCATGGCAGCACATTGTTCCTTCAATTTCCATTGCCTGAGATTTTTCCGAACTATGTCCATCTAGACTTCATGAAAATGAGACTACAAAAATGAATTTCCAAAGCGTTAATATTATTTTGGGTTAAGTAAAACACAATCCTTTGACATTCAAAAGTTAGCGGATTTCATCCTTCCTTAATTATTTTAGGTCGCTTTTGGTCCGGCCGTTAAAACTTGTGTTATGTGGCAAACGGCTGTTCCATAAATATGTATTTTTTAAGACAATGATTTCAAGATAATATTTTTGTATAATTTTAAGTGTTGTTAATTTTTTTTTATTCACCTTAAAAGTAAAATTCATAATATTAAACATATTTATTTATTTAATAATATATAAAAATTATATAAAAAAATTACTATTACATCTCCATCCATCTTTTAAAAAAATGCGCCGACAATTAGAATTTCCTTCTTCCCCTTTCCCCTTCTTTCCTCTGCCTTCTCACTGCCCGTCTCTCTCCTGGGCTCAGCCGTGATCTTCTGAGGTCGAAATCCGGAATTAATAAAACTTATGCTGATGTGGCAAATGCTTTCCTTCATATTTTCTTTTGTTTTTGTATTTCACTCCCTTGTTAGTCTTCTCACGCTCCTCTGTGTAGGGGACTATGATTACCTCTATCATTATAATTCATCTAGTTTTCTCCGAAGCAGCATCTACAAAGACAACCTCAGTAACCTCCTCTCTTCTCTCTCCAATGCGTCCAACAGTGCGTCAGTGCCAGTGATGGGGTCTTCATCACCACCGCTGGACGAGAACCCAATACCGTGTATGGCCTCTCGCTGTCGCGGTCATGTTACAACCGAAGTTTGCCAGAAGTGTATCGCCTCTGCCTCCATCCATGTAGCTCAGCGTTGCCCCACTGGGTATGAAGCTGTAATCTGTTATGGGCAGTACATGGTCCGTTATTCTAACCGGTCGATCTACTTCGTCATGACCACTGACCCAAAGGAAGATTTGATGATCAGTCGGGATGTTCTAGAAGGAGTGACTCAGAAGTTTGCGACCAAAGAAGTGAAATTTAACGAGTTTCAAGACGTGTGTAGCCTCGCGCAGTGTACGCCAGATATTTCCGGCGACGAATGCAACAGATGCCTTCAGTTTGTGATCGGAGGCTCACCGGAATGTTGCAGCGGGAAAGAGGCAGGACTTGCGTTGTACCCAAGTTGTATTCTTAGATATCAAATTACCCCCTTTTATCACCAAACCGAAGCTGCAGCACCACCGTCTGGGCAGCTACTCGACCTCCTGTAAATCCTCCATCTCCAGGTCAGGTTATTAAGAAAAAAAAAAAAAAAAGGAGGCTGAATTCAAAAGGGATAAATTTGTTGAGTAGACTGTAGAGGATTGATTAACAAATTAATTTGTGATAACTTTGTAGTGATTTCGGATTTTAAATATGAAATTCGACTTTCTTCTTTACATAGGAAAAGGGCAGATTTAATCCGGTACCATTATCAGCATTATTGTTTCAACAGTTGGTTCCTCGGTGATTTTCTCCATTGGTTTGTATTGGATACTAATCTGGAAAGCAAGGAAAAAGAAAACTAGACAGCTAAACAAAGATAATGGTATATGGTGAAATGCGTTTATTATATGTATATTCATACATTATTTTACTTGCTCTGGGTTAGCTCAGTTCCTATTGTTATTGTAGCTTTGTTTTGGTGTGATTTTCAGTTGGAAGCAAAACGGGAGACCAATATTACAGTTTGATTTTTGTATAATTGAAGATCCCACAAACAACTTCGCACATGCTAACATGATTGGTGCTGGTGGATTTGGCGGGTTGTATAAGGTGAGGATTGTTTGCAAGTTTGTTGTTCAATTCAACAATTATTAATTGGTTCTAGATTTTGAAAAATCTCAAGCTGATTGCTGAACTGAAACTCATGGAGATGGACTGTTTTAGGAATGACTATGGTGCTTTTAATCAGGGGGCATTTGCTAATGGACAAGAAATGGCTGTGAAGAAGCTATCAAGAAGCTCTGGACGAGATGGGGAGGAATTTAAGAATGAGGTTGTACTGTTCACCACGCTTCAGCTCCGGAATCTGGTTAGGCTGTTTGGATTTTGCACAGAACGAAAAGAGAATGTTAATTTATGAATTTGTTCCCAACAAAAGCCTTCACTACATATTTGGTCAGACCCTTCTTAACATTTATCTGTATTAAACCTTCTTTTCTACCATAGAAATGCATTTTAACTTGTCAATCCAGTTCCTAAGCTGCAATATAATGTATACAGATCCTGAGAAAAGAGCAGAACTGGATTGGTCAAGACGTCACAAGATAATTAAAGGGATTGCTCGGGGCCTCCTATATCTTCTTATTGATTCAAGGCTCAGGATCATACATCGTGATCCAAAAGCCCCATACATCTTGTTGGACGAGGATATGACACCCAAAATTTCAGATTTGGCATGGCAAGAATTATTGAAGAAAATCGATCCCAAGAACCTACAAAGAGAATTGTTGGTACATGGTAAGTTCCCCATCTAAAAATCTTTCTGCTCGTTTGGTGAATACTAACCAGGAACTCCTTTTCATTAAAATGTTATAATTCCATATTCCAGTGGCTACATCTCTCCAGAGTTTGCAATGAATGGGAAGTTCTCTGAGAAATCAGATATGTTTAACTTTGGCATGTTGATGCTAGAAATTGTATGCGGTAAAAGGAATGCAGGCATATCTAACCCAAATTATGCTGAAAACCCTTCTAACCAAAATAAGTAAATGCCAAAAAAAAAAAAAAAATGAAAATCTTCTTTCAATCTGTAATTGCTAATGTTATAACAAAATAATAAGAGCACAATTTCTTGATATTTTCAAGGCATGGAGGCATTGGAAAGATGGGACCTCACTAGAATTGATGGATCCAACTTTAGGGGATTCTTATATGAGTAATGAAGTTACCAGGTGTATCCAGATTGGATTAATCTGCGTTCAAGAAAAACCAACTGCAAGACTAACCATGGCAAGAATAGTTCTCATGCTTAGCAGTACATCCGTTACTCTTCCTTCACCTCAACGGATTGCATTCTTCTTTGGCAGTATCACAGGAGAAAGCAGTGCAAGTGTGGAGCAGGAGCCAAACAAAAATGCGAAAAATTCAACCTCTTTCTCAGTAGACGACGCATCTATTACCAGACTACACCCCCGATAATGTACAGCATTATAGTATTATTAAAGGATATAATACTATTCAATTATTCTTTGAAGTTATTGAATGAAATTATACTTGTCTTAGTTTCCTTGGCTCGGGGATTAAGGTCAGGAAAACAGTTAGAACAAAAGGAGAAGAAGAAGGACAGAATTGAGATAACATAAAAGGTTAAGGGCATAAAAGTTGTTTTGTCACTAGTTAGTGGAGCTGGAAAAAGTGTCTTTTCTTAATATGCTATTTTTCTCCCGTGGGCTTTGGGCAATATATCTCATTTTTTTTTAACATTAAACTTCCTGTATTCGGTAACTATATTCGATTTCGACTAATTTAAAATCGAGTTGCATTGGACCCCATTAAGGGAGAAACTCTCCTAACGTCTGTTTTTTCATCCACAAGATTCAAATTCAAGATTTTATTTAAAAAAACCAAATTCTTTTCACTTATGTTAACAGTTTCTTAATTAAGCAATATATCATTTTCCACTCGTATATTATAATTTTCCACACATCCTTTGAGATGAAAAAAAATGTCCTCCAACAATCTACTTCACATGTCGTCAACTTGACGTACCAGTGCTGTCAATCTAACGCTAGTTCTTATCATTTCCGGAAAATAAAAATTTCATAGTGGTCTTAATTATGTTAGGGGTTCAAGCCGTGAAAAAATTGCCTAGGCACGGTTGCTTAATAGGTTTATTGGTTAAATAATATAAACCTGTTGCAGTGTTGATAAATAAGTGGTTAATCACTGAGATAATACTGTTCCTAGTCTCAAACTCTATTGAGGATCTTAGATTGGAAATTGAAACATTGTTCACTGTAAATTGAGCTAATCCATTAGCAAATGCCTCTAGCTCCATGATAGAGTGCATATAATGTTGGAAAGTATATCCTAATTTTTAGTCATCATCTCTATAATTTAACAAGTTTAAATCGTTTATTTGTTTTTCTTATTAGATAAGTTGGGATTATTGGTTAGTTATTTTAAAAAAAAAAGTTATATTGTAAAGTCTATTTAAAGGTTAGTTTATTTTCATTCTATTTTCTTCTTTCTTTGGAATCCTTGGTTTCTTGACATTTGATATCAGAGCCAATTCTTGACAAATTCCATGGCTTCTGAAAATTATGTTCAGCCCTCAATACCTCATTTTTATGGTCATCACTACAACCATTGGAGTATGTTGATGAAGAATTTCCTTAGGTCCAAAGAGTATTGGACAATTGTTGAAGTTGGAATTCCAAAACCAGCGGTAGGTGCAAATGATGCACAAAGGGTAGAAATTGAGAAGGAAAAGTTGAAAGATCTCAAGGCTAAGAACTATTTGTTCCAATCCATTGATTGGGTTATCTTAGAAACAATCCTTAACAAGTCTACTTACAAGACTATTTGGGATTCCATGAAGAAGAAGTACCAGGGCAATGAAAGAGCAAAGCAGTAGAAATGCCAGGCTTTGCGAGTAGAATTCGAAGGTCTGCAAATGTAGATTGGTGAATCTGTAGATGACTATTTTTTAAGGACGATGGCAATTGCAAACAAGATGAGGATCCATGGTGAACATCTAGAGGATGTTGCCATAGTTAAGAAAATTCTTTGGTTTATGACAACAAGATTCAATTATGTTGTTTGTTCAATTGAGGAGTCGAATGATATTAAGGCAGTTTCTCTTGATAAGTTATAGAACTCGTTGTTAGTTAATGAGTGGAAGATAAATCACCAAGAAAAGTAAAAGCAAGCAGTGTAGATTTCGTATACGCAAGCCTTGTAAACCATAGTTCATTAAAAGGTTGCAAATCAAGGAAAAGGAAACTAGAAAAGCAGATTGAGATCTAGCAGATTGGAGGAAAGTTTAGTCATTGAAAATTAGAAAAGGTGGCAGAACAAAAATTATCAAGCTGTAGATAACAAATCCAAGTCAGTAGGCAAGGCAAATGTTGAATGCTTTCGATGTCATAAGTATGGCCATTATTGTTCTAAGTGCCATGCTAATTTGAATAAAGAAGAAAGTTCTAACTTTGCAGAACACAATGAAAAGAATGATGATGCCTATCTATTCATGGTCTATCATCCTAAAGAAGTCAATAAGAAAAATGTGTGGTATCTAGATACTGGCTGCAACAACCAGATGTGTGGAGACAAATCTGTGTTTTCAAATCTGGATGAGTCTTTTCAAGACAAGGTGAAATTTGGTGATAATTCTAC